CAAAGAGGTGCGTGTGCCTGTGGGGGGAGGGGGTTGGGTTAGGTACCTGGAAGTTGGTTGGTTAGTAAAGTGAGAGAGACAAGTTGTTTACACTGCAGTAAGGTGCAAGGCTGCCATGAACTTGTTGGGGGCTACAGGCATGCAACAGCAGACATTTGGGGACTAATGCAGGCCATAGACGGGTCTAAAAATCGGCTGATTTTTCGTCCGTAAAAAAAAAAAAAAAATTGGCCGATTTTCGCACCGTTAATGGGTTAATTGGTCGGCTGTTTTTCAGGGTTTTAGCACATTTTTATTTTGTCGGTGAAGTTGGAAAAAAAAAAAATCGTCCGATTTTCCCAGCAATGATAGGCAAATCGGCCGATCTTTTTACCGATAAAAAATCTGCTCATGAGCCGTGGCCTGCAAGAAGAAGAAAAAGAAGAAGAATTCCAGTCCGCTATTATACAGTGGGGCAAAAAAGTATTTAGTCAGCCACCAATTGTGCAAGTTCCCCCACTTAAAAAGATGAGAGGCGCCTGTAATTGGCATCATAGGTAGACCTCAACTATGAGAGACAGAATGAGAAAACAAATCCAGACAATCACATTGGCTGATTTGGAAAGAATTTATTTGCAAATTATGGTGGAAAATAAGTATTTGGTCACCTACAAACAAGTAGGATTTCTGGCTCTCACAGACCTGTACCTTCTTCTTTAAGAGGCTCCTCTGTTCTGCACTCATTACCTGTATCAATGGCACCTGTTTGAGGTTGTTACAGTATTTTATACCTGATAACAACTTCAAACAGTCACACTCCAAACTCCACTATGGTGAAGACCAAAGAGCTGTCGAAGAACACCAGAAACAAAATTGTAGACCTGCACCAGGCTGGGAAGACTGAATCTGCAATAGGCAAGCAGCTTGGTGTGAATAAATAAACTGTGGGAGCAATAATTAGAAAATGGAAGACATACAAGACCACTGATTATCTCCCTCGATCTGGGGCTCTACGCAAGATCTCACCCCGTGGGGTCAAAATGATCACAAGAACGGTGAGCAAAAATCCCAGGACCACACGGGGGGACCTAGTGAATGACCTGCAGACAGCTGGGACCAACGTAACAAAGGCTACCATCAGTAACACACTACGCCGCCAGGGACTCAGATCCTGCAGTGCCAGAAGTGTCCCCCTGCTTAAGCCAGTACATGTCCGGGCCCGTCTGAAGTTTGCTAGAGAGCATTTGGTTGATCCAGAAGAGGATTGGGAGAATGTCATATGGTCAGATGAAACCAAAATAGAACTGTTTGGTAGAAACACAACTGGTCGTGTTTGGAGGAGAGAGAATGCTGAGTTGCATCCAAAGAACACCATACCTACTGTGAAGCATGGGGGTGGCAACATCATGCTTTGGGGCTGTTTCTCCCCAAAGGGACCAGGACGACTGATCCATGTACAGGACAGAATGAATGGGGCCATGTATCGTGAGATTTTGAGTGCAAACCTCCTTCCATCAGCAAGGGCATTGAAGATGAAACGTGGATGGGTCTTCCAACATGACAATGATCCCAAACATACCACCCGGGCAATGAAGGAGTGGCTTCGTAAGAAGCATTTCAAGGTCCTGGAGTGGCCTAGCCAGTCTCCAGATCTCAACCCCATAGAAAATCTTTGGAGGGAGTTTAAAGTCCCAAAACATCACTGCTCTAGAGATCTGCATGGAGGAATGGGCCAACATACCAGCAACAGTGTTTGCCAACTTTGTGAAGACTTACAGGAAACGTTTGACCTCTGTCATTGCCAACAAAGGATATATAACAAAGTATTGAGATGAACTTTTGATATTGACCAAATACTTATTTTCCACCATAATTTGCAAATAAATTCTTTCCGAATCAGCCAATGTGATGGTCTGGATTTTTTTTCTCATTTTATCTTTCACAGTTGAGGTCTACCTATGATGCCAATTACAGGCCTCTCTCATCTTTTTAAGTGGGAGAACTTGCACAATTGGTGGCTGACTAAATACTTTTTTTGCCCCACTGTATTCGACATGAAAAAGTATTGTGGTTGCAACAATGTATCTATTTGTATCCGAATAACAACATCTGTATCCGAAATGGATACAAATAGATACATTGTTGCAATACTTTTTCATGTCAAATATAATAGCGGAGCTCTCTGCAGGGACAGAAGTAATTAAATGCCGACCGATTTTTTTTACCATTGGTGGTAACGTCGGCCTATTGAACGACCGATTTTTCATGGTTTTTTTTTTTTTTTTTTTTTTAAACGGATGGTTTTCGACCAGTCTATGGCCTGCATTAGGATATCCTAATTAAAAAATAGAAACAGCTTGTGCCTGCGCACTTGCTATAGATGGTGTCATCTTCCACTTCAATTCTGTACATCCCAACCAACTCTCAGCAGCCCCTTTTGATCCTCAACCCTATGAACATGCTCCTAGTAGACACCGCTGTTCAACCCAAATCAGTACTTATGGCTGGTAATGTAAAAATGTGAAATGAAGCAGACTAGTACATTTTTTCCCCGCAATGAAAGTTCCTTCTCCTGGGGGGACAGGAGTCAGTAATAACATGTATGATGTGACTGTGGCAAATCTGATTGTCTTTTACCGGCCTCAGATTTGCAGTGACTGCATATACAACAGTGGTCTCCAAACTGCAGCCGGGGATGGATGTGGCTTTTATCTGGCCCTTGGGGCACTATTCCACCAACTGACACCAATGTTGGAGTACATTGTCCTCTACTGACACCGTGAATGGGGTATTATTCTTCTTATTGATAGCAACAATGGGGTACTATTCTTCTCATTGATGGCAACAAGGGGGCACTATTCCTCCAGGTCATTTTTGGCTCCCACTGGCCACAGTCCGACCCCCCTAAAGCCTGAAGGACAGTGGCCCTTTGCTTAGATAGTTTGGAGACCCCTGATATACCTTTTACCTATAGCTATAACTTTTACCAGAGAACTGTGATTTTTGTCGGAAAGATTACACAGTGCTGACCCTGCGATGAGCCATGTGCTGAGAGCTCCCCCTAGTGACAATTTTCTAATACTGTACTTCCATTTCAGGATGTGAAAACAGATAGCACAGTTTGTATAGGCCCAAAAAGACCTGTCTGATTGGAACAGCCAGACAACAAGCTTTTTTTTTTTTTTTTTTTTTAACTAGGTCAGCAGAAGAAGGTCATGTTTTACTTATACTTCATTAAACAGAAAGAATTGCAGTACAAAGATAAAACAATATAGCACTGCCTAAGTAATTAAAGTGGTTATAAAGCCTAAACATTTTTTACCTAAAAGGAGTATGTAAACCCAACATTTCATATTCCCGATATGTGCCTGCTGTATCATGTACTTGTATGAAGAAGTATCCTGTTCTCTTTGTATTGCTTCTTTTGTGTGAAATCCCTCCACTTTCCTATTAAACTGCCCATACTAAGTATGAGAGCACAGCGTGGTCAGTTTTCTAGCTGTGGTGGGAGCTCAACCCGCTCTCCTCCACTGATCAGACTTCTGCCAACACCTCCCTCTGCACAGCCATTCACTGGGTGGATCAGCATACTGCTGTTTCTCCTCCGCCAGCTCCTATGCAGCTGAGAACAGAGAATATGTGATAATTTCTTTAAAAAAAAAAAAAAAAAAAAAAGGTTTTTTTTTTTTATACCTATACACAAGACAAAGGTTTTGCCTTTAATGTCTATCTTAAACTGAATGGGCTTGTTTTACAAGGTGAGGGTTTTCATATAGTTTAAAGCATTCCTTACATTAAGGTAAATATTTTTAGGCATTACACCCCCCCCCCCATTTTACATACTCGAGTCCTCATTGAATCCAGACCTGTGCCTGTCTGCAGCTCTCCTCTCCCCTCACTTCCTGGTCTCACTGGCTTTGCTGAGGAAGCGGGAGCCATTGGCTCCAGACGCTATCAATAAAAGCCAGTAAGGAGGGAGAGAGGACGTCAGGGCTCTCAAACTATTTCCACCAGACCAGACCACCACTGGGTGTGGTTTACCACTCAAACACATCGCTCCATCCTCCAAAAGGTTTCCCAACCTTCCTCCTGCAACTATCAGCTCCCAGAACCCTCTTCTGTCCCAACTCATTCCTTTAATTACTAGGCTAGGAGGTCTAAATGCAAGCTGGCTTCCTTTTTCTTTTTAGAGACTGAAAGTGTAGCTTTACCCAAAATGTGTAGTTGAAAATAGGGAAGGTCTTTTATTTCTGTCTGGTGGATTCAATTTCACTTTCTGTCCTGGCAATCATTGGCCTCTCGCTGCAACTCTCTATATGCACCGTAAAGTAGATTAACAATACACGCCTGAAAGAGGGGATACACAAAGAAAATGTTGATTTAACAAAACAATGATTTAAAAGTACAATTGTATAATAGATGAAAAACACAAATGTTAATTTCAAAATATAAATAGTGTTTTATTTTAATATTACTTTAGCATGAAATGGTGTATAAAAAAAAAAATAGTCCTGGGAAGCCTAATTGCTGGTATGATACAAGGTATTTTACACCTTCCAGTTTTCTACATACTGCCATTTCTTATAGCAGTATCATTACTGCATGGACAGACGTTACCAGATGCCACATCCAGTGTTGTAGCAGCAGCAGCAATGGAGGGTGAAGGTAGAACACATCCATGTTGCTGTAGTAAATCCTATAAAGGGATAAACGTATGGTTTGAGAAAATACTTTCAATATTTCTTCTGTATAGTTAGAGAAGGCCTAAACACATGGTACCAGTTACAGAGATAGACTTGACCTAACAGCATCTAGTGCATATAATTTAGGACCCAGATAGTTTGTCAGACTGATTTACCTGCCAATGCAGTTTAAGAATGTGATTTGGTTGGTTAAAAGTGTCCTGGTAACAGTGTTAACTGAGGCCTAACCCCCTCAAATGAGAACAAAAAGGAAGTGCAGCTTTTTCTTTGCTTGTATGCATACGAGTTCTGGTAATGATGTTTATAGAGACCAATAAGTCAGGATTCTTTAGGACAGATAGGCGTAAAGTGCTAGAAAGGAAAAAAAGAAAAAAAAAAAAAAAAAAAAAAAAAAGACATTTTAAAAACTATTAAAGATAAATGTATCAAAGACTGCAAGGAAAACAAGCATATTCAGTAATACAGCAAAAAGAGGATCACATATCTTTGGAATAAGATGACTGTAGTAAACACATTTCATTTTATTGAAGAAATCTTAAAACATTGATTATATCAGCTGCTAAAAAAAAAAAAAAAAAAAAAAAAAAAAAGCCAGTATATCCAACTTCAGCTTCCAAAAATGAAAGCCAATCTTTGAATGGAAGGGACAAACCTTTCAATTATCTGCTCGTCCTCCATTCACAGATTGAGTCTCTTTCTTTACTATAGGGTAATTGAGGTGGCAATTATTAGCATACAAGTAACTGCACTGACTTTTTTGTCCCTTTCCTACTGGGGAAAAAAAAAAAAAAAAAAGTGTGGCTGTGAAATAATTTTCTGGCTCCCAAAAGCAGAAATTCACTGCTGGAAACAATGCACACCATCTACCTTTTTCTTGTCAGTGCCACCCCAGAGATTGCTTGCAAGCAGGCTTCCTGGCCTATTCACATCTCCCCTTTGGGTAATTTTACTATTGGCTGCGCATGTACATCCCTGGGGGATCCAAAATTCCTATATACACATCCCAATTTTTATTCCTTTCAGCATTTTGCTGTAGAGTGCCTACATGTCATGTTTGTGCCCTACTATTTGGCTAGACACAATGCCCTAGGATCTCACCAAGACAGTGGCTCCTGTATTAGAAAGTTTTCAAGTCCTGGTAGTCCCAGACTGGCCTGGCAGAGCCTGGTAAGTGAACCTTGTAGAGCCTGGCAAGTGCAGCTTACTGCACAAATTCAGAAATGTCGAAGTTGATGGAACTCCTGCATGTGCACAGCAGACCCGAAAGCCAGCCGCCCGAAGAGGTCAGTGACCGGCAGGCAATTTTGGAATGGCACCTCATTGGATTGAAGGTGAATATAGTTACGCTTTAAGATGCTCCCTGGTGTCCTCCAGTTCAGCCAAACCTCCTGTCTCAAGTTCCCATATTCCACCCCTTTTTCAGTCCCTGGCTGAACAATCATACCTTAAGCACTTGCCTACAGGGCACTTATACCCCCTTCCCGCTCAGGCCAATTTTCAGCTTTCAGCGCTGTTGCATTTTGAATGACAATTGCACAGTCATGCAACACTGTACCCATATGAAATTTTTATAATTTTTTTCTAGACAGATAGAGCTTTCTTTTGGTGGTATTTAATCACCTCTGGGGTTTTTTTTTTTTTTTTAAAAAACATGTTTTCTTAATTTCTGTTACAAAATTTAGTAAAATAAGTGATTTTTCTCCTTCACTGATGTGAGGCTGCAGTGATGAGCACTGATAGGCTGCACTGATGGGAAGGCACTTGTAGGTGGCACTGATGGGCATTGACAGGCATCGCTGATGGGCACTGAAAGGCAGCACTCATAGATGGCACTGACTGGCACTGACTGGCGGCACTGATAGGAAGCACACAAAAAGGTGGGCCTTCTTGGCTGCTGTTGCCCGGAGAATTTCAGAAATTATGATTTTTCCCTTATACAACTTTCAGGAAAAGGATGTTCTCTGCTTCCCCGTTAACTCCCAAGGTACACATTAGTCTACCTAAATTTTGTTTGTCTTTCTCACTCTAATCAGGGGAGAGACTGATTTCCACACTTGGATGTGGTGCTTGCCTGAAAGCAGGACTTCAGTTAAAATGTTTAATTTCCCCATGCAGTGGGGCTGTGCCTGCACTGCAATGGTTAACTGCTTGTTTTGTCCAGGAACACAGGGTAAAGCTATACTTACCCTGTCCTATCCTCTGGGAAACCACAGCGGTGGACTGTTCCTGCCATCCTAACGTCCAGGGCTGGTCTATAGACACGATGACGTCAGGAACAGCCCATATACAAGACCGCAAGCGTGGGGGGAGGGAGTGCGGCGTGACCAGTCTTGTGATTGGCGGCTTAAGTGTATGTAGTGTATGTATGTATGTATGTATCCGAACCCCTAGACAAAAACGAGCATTTAACCCATGCAGTGTGGGCTCAGCCCCACTGCATGAGAAAATAACATTTTTTCCCAGATTTCTTCTTTAAAGCATACCTTGACCATATGGCTTTACACAAGACAGAATTCTTTGTCATTCTGAGGGTGGTCAAAAAGATTCCCTCTGTCTGGGGCCACCATTACTCGACAGGATCACTAGGCTATTTTTCAGGCCTATTCTTCTGCAGGTGAGGATTCACCCTTTCACGTGACCTCTCATTCCAAATGCGTCACCAGCATGTCTTTGGCTTTCAGACACCAGGGTTCCACTGCCAGAGTATGGAAGTACCACCAATATGAACCCACATTTATTACGTTTTACTACATAAAACATGTCCGCTTTGAGCAATGCAAATTACTCACCATGTCTTCCTGTTTCTCTAGAAAGAGAGATACAGGGTCCCTACAACTTCTAATTGAGCCAGAAACACATTGAGCTGTATAGAAAGCACATTCTTCATCAAGACGAGCTTCCCAAAACCTCTGCTTGGCAGATACTGCAGCTTGTAATCGTAATCGTGCAATATCAGGTAAAGAGGAAGGACCTATATAAAAAGGATAAAAGACATAGATACTAATTTACCAAATTGTTAGCTTGGATCAAACCATTACAAATTACTGTGTTTACAAATTGCTGTATAGCACAGTACAATTCACATCCCTTAAAGATGGTACCATTTTATTTCTTACCCAAGGTGCAGGTCTGCAGGGCTTGTACAGCAGGGTGAGCAAGAAAAGAAAGTGGCACAGTGGATTTTATACCAGACACAATGCTGGAAGAGGAATCACTGACACTTGGCTGTAATGAAGGTGCAAGGTGCATTTGACTGTGCAATTGAAAATTCTGAGAATCCCCAACATTAGCCCTGTGAGCATCAGGTTGGACCAATGCTTTCTGCTCTGGTGCACTTGTTGGAGTATGTTCTAATACGATCAAAAGATTAGAGACTGCAGTGGGTTCCTATAAAAAAAAAAAAAAAAAAAAAAAAAAGTTTACAAATCTGTAGTAATGCAAATCAAGGCAAAAACAGGTTCAGTTAGGCTAACAGGTCTACATGACAAAAAATAGCACAAGTTAAGGATTCTTTTGTTAGGTTTTCATTTGGTACTCTATATCATTTTTAGCACCATTATTATGAAGAGGACAGTGAAGTGATGCCAATTTACTATGTCTTGGTAGATGTCTGCACACTATTTAGGTACAAAATGGAAAGTATTTACAAGTTCCCTGCTTGCTTATTTTATTGGACCCACAATTCTAAAGCTGAAGTTAGTTCTTAATATATAATATATATATTAAGAATATATAATGTTTTTTTTCCCCACTATGCAGTACCATGGACATAACTTACGACAAAGTGTCCCATGGCTGGCTGGCCCATAGTGTAAAAATCTTCTTCCTAGAGCACTGATCTTACATCGGCCACTGCCAGTGTGAAAGCACTGAACCATTCACCTACCTCTTCTATCTATTTCCTTTATTCAGAACTCATACTACCTTTCCCAGAAAGCAAAGAGTTCTGTGAATTGAGGACAGATAAATTAAGAAAGCCACTTTTTTTCATTTGAGATGGGTGAAACGAGTGGGTGAGCGATGCAACTCTTTCACACACACACCCGACTGATGTTGACCTCAGAAGTGCTGGAAGATAATCAGTGGAAATAAGATTTCTACACGATGCAATAGCCAGACATAGTTCAAAAGTAAGTTAGGTCATCCCTGGTGCTGCAGAGCAAAAAAATTACATGAAAAAAAAAATATTAAGTAAATCTCAGCTTTAAATGGTCACAAGCATGTTTAAAGTATTGCAGTGGTTTTGAATGCTGGACATAGAAAAGAGCTCAGCTGCCCTAGATGACAGGTTTCACAGGAGAATCACAAGAAGAGGTTCTTATCTCCTATAGCATCAGCATTCTGCTGCTGAAATCCTTTAATAATGTGTTTAATACCCATTAAAAAAAAAAAAAAAAAAAAACGCAATCCCATACTCTTTGCGCAAGAACAGATTCCCCATGGAATCTGGGCACACCTAAGATCTCAAATTCAAAAATTATATATATTAAATATATATATTTATATATATATAATATATATATATACACATACTATATATACATATTTTATACACACACACACACACACACACACACACACACACACACACAAAAAAGTTTACATACCCTGGCAGAAATCGTGAATTTTTGGTTTTGATATTGAAAATATGACTGATCATGGCAAAAAATGCTCTTTTATTGAAGGATGATGATCATATGAAGTCATTTATTATCAAATAGTTGTTTGGCTCCTTTTTAAATCATAATAACAGAAATCACCCAAATGGCCCTGATCAAATGTTTACATACCCTGGAATGTTTGGCCTTGGTGCAGACATGGGTTAAAATGCCAATTGGAGATTAATGTCCCACATCTGTGGCTTTTCAAATTGCAATTAGTGTCAATGTATAAATAGTCATTGAGTTTGTTAGCTCTTACGTGGAAGCATCGACTAGGCTAGATACTGAGCCATGGGGATCAGAAAAGAACTGTCAAACGTCCTGCCTAACAAGGTAATGGAACTTTATAAAGATGGAAAAGGACATAAACAGCTGTCCAAAGCCTTGAATATGCCAATCAGTACTGTTAAATCACTTAAGAAGTGGAAAGTTCAGGGATCTCTTGATACCAAGCCAAGGTCAGGTAGACCAAGAAAGATGGCAGCCATAACTGACAGAAGAATTGTCCGGGACTCAAAGAAAAACCCACAGGCAACCTCAAAAGAAATATAGGCTGCTCTGGAAAAAGCACAAGCACGTCGCAACCGGCCGGGCGTTTGCGGAGCAGCACCATAGACGAGAATAGGAGGCTTCAACGCCTCCTGACTCGACCAGAGGCGTCCATTTTGCCGCGACACGATGCAAACGCTCCCGTTAGAACAGCACCATGTGCTCTAATGTGCAGAATTGGCAGAGGCGTTGGGAAGCGGTAAAAACGCTTCCCAAACGCCTCTCTGCCGCCTGCACACAACGCTAGTGTGAACGTAACCCAAGAGCTAACAAACTCATTGACTATTTATACACTGACACTAATTGCAATTTAAAAAGCCACAGATGTGGGACATTAACCTCTAATTGGCATTTTAACCCATGTGTGTCACCTTGTGTGTCTGTACCGAGGCCAAACATTCCAGGGTATGTAAACTTTTGATCATGGCCATTTGGGTGATTTCTGTTATCATTAGGATTTAAAAAAGGAGCCAAACAACTATTTGATAAGAAATATCTTCATATGATCATCATCCTCAATAAAAGAGCATTTTTTGGCATGATCAGTCATATTTCCAATATCAATGCTACAATTTCACAATTTCTGCCAGGGTATGTAAACTTTTGAGCACAACTGTATACACACACACATTTTCTTTTTGTATAGAATTTGAGATCTTAGGTATGTGAAGGCATTAGAAATCAGAGATGAAGTTTGTGAAGGCTGTATTACCTGGTTTTCATTGGGAACATACTTCTACACAAAAGGGGTGGATTGTGTTTTTAATTGGTATTAAACATGTCATTGAAGGATGATTTCTAAAACTCTACCAATGCTTACTGCTTTCTCGAACATAATGATTGATAGAAATATTGAAATTAGCTATCCTATTGAGGGAAGGTTAGAAAACAAGAGTAAGGATTAACTGGATGCAACTTGTCAGTTTTCTAAACTATCCGAAAAAGCAGTGGAACTGCATAAATCACAACTAACATACATTGGTCTGTAAAGGAATGGAAATTGCCTGTTCTCGTGACAGAGTAGATGCAATTCCCATCAGCTTATGTAAACAAGTACCATACTCCTACATGACTAAAATATTAAATCCAAGCAAACCAATTAAACCTGCTTGGACAGAGGCCATGTCTACCGGAGCCTTGCTGATTTTGGAAAATAAATGACTGTGCAGGTCCTGCCGTTCAGTGGCTTAGTTTCACAACAGATGAAAAGCTACAGGTCATCTAAACTTTACTCTAGAGTACAAGGTCTCTTTATATTTTACCAATGAAGTATACCAATTAGCCTGTCAACATTTTCTGTAAACATCCTCAAGTTGACAATAACTTGCTACTATGGGCAACACTGACAAAATGTTTCTGTTATAAAAAGGGAAAAACACATTACCTTTTTCTTTTCAGTGTCTCCCGCCCCTTCACCATCTAAAAATAACCGCATAGCTACTTCTTTCTACACACAAAAAATAAATAAAAATTGATTAGATTAACAAATGAACACGTGATGCTATAGCTAGATGACTATAATAATTAGTATTTTAGAATAAAGATTAGCTATGCCATCTAGTTCTGCCTGGAAAGAGGCCTCTCACCGGTATACAGGTGAAACTCCAAAATTTGAATATTGTGCAAAAGTTCATTTATTTCAGTAATGCAACTTAAAAGGTGAAACTAATATATGAAATAGACTCATTACATGAAAAGCAAGATAGTTCAAGCCGTGATTTGTCATAAATTGTGAGGATTATGGCTTACAGCTCATGAAAACCCCAAATCCACAATCTCAGAAAACTAGAATATTGTGAAGAGGTGCAATATTCTAGGCTCAAAGTGTCCCACTCTAATCAGCTAATTAAGCCATAACACCTGCAAAGGGTTCCTGAGCCTTTAAATGGTCTCTCAGTCTGGTTCAGTAGGAATCACAATCATGGGAAAGACTGCTGACCTGACAGTTGTGCAGAAAACCATCATTGTCACCCTCCATAAGGAGGGAAAGCCTCAAAAGGTAATTACAAAAGAAGTTGGATGTTCCCAAAGTGCTGTATCAAAGCACATTATTCGAAAGTTATGTAGAAGGAAAAAGTGTGGAAGAAAAAGGTGCACAAGCAGCAGGGATGACCGCAGCCTGGAGAGAACTGTCAGGAAAAGGCCATTCAGAAGTGTTGGGGACTTTCACAAGGAGTGGACTGCGGCTGGAGTCAGTGCATCAAGAGCCACCACACACAGTCGGATCCTGGACATGGGCTTCAAATGTCGTAATCCTCTTGTCAAGCCGCTCCTGAACAACAAACAACGTCAGAAGCGTCTTACCTGGGCTAAAGAAAAACAGACCTGGTCTGTTACTCAGTGGTCCAAAGTCCTCTTTTCTGATGAGAGCAACTTTTGCATCTCATTTGGAAACCAAGGACCCAGAGTATGGAGGAAGAATGGAGAGGCACACACTGCAAGATGCTTGAAGTCCAGTGTGAAGTTTCCACAGTCTGTGTTGATTTGGGGAGCCATGTCATCTGCTGGTGTTGGTCCACTGTGCTTCATTAAGTCCAGGGTCAACGCAGCCGTCTACCAGGAGATTTAGGAGCACTTCATGCTTCCTTCCGCAGATGAGCTTTATGGGGATGCTGACTTCATTTTCCAGCAGGACTTGGCACCTGCCCACACTGCCAAAAGCACCAAAACCTGGTTCAATGACTGTGGGATTACTGTGCTTGATTGGCCAGCAAACTCGTCTGACCTGAGCCCCATAGAGAATCTATGGGGCATTGCCAAGAGAAAGATGAGAGACATGAGACCGAACAATGCAGAAGAGCTGAAGGCCGCTATTGAAGCATCCTGGTCTTCCATAACACCTCAGCAGTGCCACAGGCTGATAGCTTCCATGCCACACCGCATTGAGGCAGTAATTGCTGCAAAAGGGGCCCAAACCAAGTACTGAGTACATATGCATTCTTATACTTTTCAGAGGTCCGATATTGTTCTACGTACAATTCTCGTTTTATTGATTGCATGTAATATTCTCATTTTCTGAGATTGTGGATTTGGGGTTTTCATGAGCTGTAAGCCATAATCATCACAATTATGACAAATCACGACTTGAACTATCTTGCTTTGCATGTAATGAGTCAATCTCATATAATAGTTTCACCTTTTAAGTTGCATTACTGAAATAAATGAACTTTTGCACAATATTCTAATTTTTGGAGTTTCACCCTGTAGTGAATAGTCACAGCACAGGAACCTCTCCAACCTGACATTCCCAGCCCTGGACACCAGGAGGGTAGACTGGGCCCATAAGACCCCCAATCCTGCAATCTATACAGCACAGGGACTCCTCTACCTCTGATATGAATGACCTGGAGGACTCCATGATGATAATCTCACCTGTAAGCCCCACTGACACCACAGTAAGAAGTCACAGCACAAGAGCTCCTCTTTGTCTGCCATCTCTATCCTTGGACTCCTCCATCCTACAGTTCCCATCCCCAGACTCCTCCATCCTACAGTTCCCATCCCCAGACTCCTCCATCCTACAGTTCCCATCCCCAGACTCCTCCATCCTACAGTTCCCATCCCCAGACTCCTCCATCCTACAGTTCCCATCCCCAGACTCCTCCATTCTACAGTTCCCATCCCCAGACTCCTCCATCCTACAGTTCCCATCCCCAGACTCTTCCATCCTACAGTTCCTATCCCCAGACTTCCAGTCTTTTTCTGCCTCTATGATATGATGTTTGGTATCTATTTTGTGTATGAAAAAAGTGTTTTTCCCCCCCAAAAAAAAATTGCATTTGAAAAACCATTGCGTGAATATCGTGTGACAAACATTGCAACACCCACCAATTTATTCCCTAGGGCCTCTGCGTTAAAAAAAAAAAAAAAATTAATAAAGAAATGTTGAAATTGATGGCAGCTACACGTCTCAAAAAAAGTTGGGACAGGGCCCTCTGTACCACAATGTAGCATCCCCTCTACTTTTAACACTCTGTAAATGTCTGGAGACTGAGGGGACCAGTTGCTGGAGTCTTGGGAGAGCAATGTTGTCCTGGTATTGCACAGACCAGTCCCGGGACCTCCTATTCTGAGTCCCCCACCAACACTCGCTTGCTATGAGTGCACATATGTGGGCTCGATTCCAAGCTGGGGTGTGTGCGTCTATTTACACACAGTGCAGCTTGGTCCCACATTAGAGGGCATTTGAACTGAAGCCGCAGTTTGAACTTTATAAAACGCATGGGAAGGAAAATCCTCTGTAGTATGTTACAAAATCAGCATCCTTAATACATTCCTCCATAATATCCTGAAGTAAAGAAGATTTCACCTCCTTCCCCTCCATTCCTAAACAGAGTCATGGGGAATTGGTTTCCAGAGGTCATAAACACCTCATGTCCATCTAAGATTCTAGAAGCACTGAAAGTCTTCAGATGAATTTAGACACTGGAAGAAAAATCTGCTTTTGTCAGACAAGTCACATGGTGTACAACTGATAGGGAACTAGAGTCAGATGCGGGGGATCATCTTAGTACATTGCTCTGGGAACAGGAACACCTATCACCCTGAGCAGTGAATAAGTTTCCTTTAGGCTGTCTGCAGAATGCATGCCATTATGCCCTTTTGTTCCAGCTCTCTTGCAACTGGGAACCGTCATTGCAAAGTGATGGGATCCCCAGTAGAGTGTTCCAGGAATGGAGTGTGGAAAGAATGGGGTTTTTCGTGTTCGGATTTATGAGCTGCTACAATCTAGGTACTCTGCATGTTCCTGTGGCTGTGTCTCAGTAGTGGATGGCAGCAAGAGAGCAGAAACATGCCAAATGCATTTTCAGCGGAAAAGGCTAATGGTAATGTGTTAGCTGGCAAGCATGACATATTTATCTCATCCTCACACAAGGCAGAAATGACAAATGTCCTGTTAAGGTAGAATGAACAGACCACTTTTAGGAGGAAGGAGGCTTTAGGCCTCAAAATAACCTTGTAGGACACTAAGAATGGCTCCTTAAAACTCAGAAACCACCCCGCAGAGGCGATAGCAACATGAAAAGCCATCTTGTGAGTGAGGTCAGACAGGGAGATATTACCAATAGATTCAAAAGGAAGTTTTCTGAAGAACTGAGAAAACTAGATAAAAAGGTGCCAAGGAGACAGAGGTGGAATAACATGTGTGCTATTCCCTGAACAAAGGCCTTAAGCAAGGAGTTAGAATGGCCAATGCTGGGAATTGCCTTAATTGTACTCAGGGCCAGATGCTGATCCAGTCCGGACTAGTGGCAAGACAGAATACAAGTACTTCCCTTGACAAAAGTTCCTCAACTCGCATCAAGCAAAATAGGTCTTCCAGATGGTAGATTTTTCAAGAAGTTGACTTTATAGCCTTCAAGAGGGTAGGGGGTGACCAGGTCCCACCGGACTATGACTTTAACCCCTTCACGCCACAGAGTAAAACAAATCTTAAAGCCCAAGTAAAATTTTACAACTTTGACATGTGTTAGTAAAACCGTACATATCACCACAACTACTTTGTACATCTAGGTGAATTATAACTTGTTTTTTTTCAGGACAAACTGGGCTTTCATTTGGTGGTAAATGGCAATGGATATCTCGATTTTTTTTTTTTCTTTTTTTTTTATTGTAAAAGAAAAACTGGTCCAAAATAGTAAATTTTTAAATTTAGCTGTGTGTTTCTTGTCACTACCATAACCTACCACCAAAAGAACAACCCAAAAAAAATTTCTAGCTCTTGATGATTGCAGCGATACTATATATGTGTATTTGTTTGTGTTTGTACCTGTACTACAGCCCAGAAACAATAGTACGCATTTTGTTTTGTTTTTTTTCACCTAAAACCACACTGACACTAACTGACACGGATACCAAAAAAAAAAAAAAAAAAAATGTAAAAATCCTGACCTTCAGCCAAACACTAATAGTGGCACTAAATTTTGTCTTTTCTTTTATATTCATTTATCTTTTTTTTTTTTTTACAAAATGTTTTTCCCCCTCTGCAAGGAGATAGAGAGATACAAGGTATCTCTCTCCTCCATTCAGAGATAAATAAAACCAAGGAGGGGGGGGGGGGGGGGGGGTTAACTTCACAGTGACTGATCACTGCAATAGCCAATCAGAGGCTGTCACAACGATCATCTGACCCAGAAACTAAGAGCCCTGGGTCCTGTTCTAACAATCGGGACCTGGGACTCCCGAGACCCCCCAGTCTTTGTGCTGGGAGCGCGTTGTACGGCATGCTCCCAGCACAAAGACAGGTACGCAAATATGCGACGACCCACAGAAAAAAGCCCAGTTCTGTGAGGCTGCATATTTGTGTGACGTCGGTGGGAAAGGTTTAATAGCAATGCCATTAAAGCAAGCAACCAAAAAAAACAGGATGGCACACTAACTCTTAGGATAGAAGGTCCTGATAATCCAGTAGGGCCCACTAAGCATCTGCTAGAAGCTTCAGTATGTCTGTGTTCCACATCCTACTAATCCAGAATGGCCCAGGAAGCATCTGCCAGAAGCTTCAGCATGTCTGTGTACCACATACTGCTAAGTGAATTCAGTACGACAAGAATCACCACAATGCCCCCATCTCTATTCTGCAGAACAGACGAGGAAGAATCTGGAGGGGCAGAGAGATGTAGATCAGGTTGACTTGATCCCACGGCATCACCAAAGCATCCACTGCAAATGCCCAAGGGTCCCTGGACCATAAAACAAACCTGTCCAGTTTGGTGTTCAAACTGGGCAATCGGATTGGAAATTGAAACACCTTATACCTCCGGATCCAGACAGTGTCAACTAATAAAACCTGCCTGACAATTTTTTCACTCCTGGGATGTGGACGCGGACAGGGCTGGAACATAATATTTTGCCCAAGAGAGAATCAAGTCTGCTTTCTTTTGAGCAATGCAACTTCTAATGCCTCCTTGATGGTTAACGTAAGCAATGTTTGGTAGCAGTGTCCAACTGGATCATCGAGTGTCCTCCCAACAACATATCCTGAGATAACCAATTGCTCTGAACTACAAAATGTTAAGGGGAAGGCGAGCGTCATCCAACAACCAAGTCACTAGCTCTGAGAGGATATTCGGGACTCCTCCCCAGCCCAACAGACTGCTCTCCATCATAAGGACCTTCCATATATTTAGAAGGAAGGGTTTTCCTGACCACAATAGAGTGTCAGGACTTGGGGGATCAAACACATGAGACAGTCCAAGGACCCACTGTTCATCCCATGTTTCTAAAATGTCAAGTTGCAAAGGTGAGGATTGAAAATGGACATATGGCACAATCTCTAAGGTGGCAGGAATTAGACCCAAGACCCTCATGCAGACACGAATTGAAGGATTCTTCTGGGCCCAAACAACCCTGGTAATGAGATCAGAGGGACTGAAATTTTTGTTCTGTGGCAGGGCTGTGTCTAATGTCAGGCCCAGGTACTCTAATTTGAGAAAGATCCAGCGATTACTTTTTCAGACCGAGGACCCAACCATAGCTCTACAGAGAGATTGTCCTGTTTGTTGGATGTTGGCTAATATAGACAGGGGGCTGTCTCTTAACAGGGAACTAATCCTTTAAACAGGTTAGAACAGGGCAAACACCTTCATAAAAACTTGGGTGCCTGTGAACAGGCCAAAAGAGAAGTATTGGTAATGCAGATTGCCCATTGCAAAAAAGCTGGTAGCACTGACGAGACAGGAAAATGGGAATATGCAAGAATAAACAGATGTCTATTGAGATTGGGTTAGAAGAAGAGAGGCAATGACTGGCCTGGCATTTTCCATGAGGCACTTTTGAACCCCTAGGAACAAGTTGAGCATCAACAAATCCAGACCATGTGACAGACCCTTCACTTTGGTTTGGTAACCATAAAAATGTATGAGTAGACTTCTGTGTCAGCAGAAGTCTGATCATAGGAAGAGAGCACACAGAGTTTCCCAGCACAGCTAGAGAACTGGCCACGCTGTGCTCTCATGCATAGTGTGGTAAGTTTTTAATAGGAAATCAGAGGGACTGGCAGGAACACTAGGGATTTCACACAAAATGGAAGCAAAGAAGATAGCAGGATACGTTTTCATTCAAGTACATAATACAGCAGGCACATATCAGGAATATGAAATGTTGGGTTTACATACTCCAAGAGTGGAGGAGACAGAGTTCGAAACTCCAGTTTGTAGCCCCTGGAGAGGACACTATGGAGCCAGGCATCTGAGATTTTCTGGCACCATAAGGTTGACAGACTTCATCCCCCACAGTCTTATATGTGGAGGCACCCCATATTTGGGAAAGGATCCTTGGGACCGGTCTTTACTGGTTTGAAGGGACATGACTTTTTACAATGTATGTTCCAGTCTTAGACTTAACTTTTTACTTGACAAAGAGATGAAAGGAATATTACCTATCTTCAGGAATAAACATTCTACTGGTAGAGGTGCAAACCTTTTAGAACAAAAAGTCACTTTTTTCTCCCTGTGATCTCCTTGATGTGCTTATCTAGGAGGGACCAAACAGGAATTCATCTTCAATGGTGTTTCTAGCATGAGAATTCAGGTGGCTAACATTTAAACCACAGGATCCTTCACATGTGGATGGAGAGAAAACTTATCTTAGAAATTTGATGAAATGCATCGGCCAAACTCAATAGCGTAAAGCCATATATAACAGACCTAGCTGACAGTGAACACAAATATCCATTAGGACTAGGGTTTTGGGTCAAGTGCTTAGTCCAGACAGCATCGCCCCAAGAAGATTGGGTCATGCAATTAGACATACTTGACATCACCAGAAGGTCTCCCTGATAAAAGGGAAGCAATAAATGACATGGTGGAACTTTTAGATCCAGTATTACAAAAATTACTTAGAACTCCCAAAACACGCACATACTCTAATATATACACAAACACAGTATATAAATACATTTTTAGCAGATGCGCTGGAGATATAACATATATATATATGTTACTGTTAAACAGAGTAAAAAGATGCCAAATACTTTAAAAAATTGTGCATGTCCGTGGAATGGCGACAAACTATGGTACATTAAATTATCCAGAGGCAATGCTTTATAAGCCTGCACAGGTGTCAAGTTTAAAGTTACACAGGAGGTCTGGTGCTAGAATTATTGTTCTCAAAAACTTAGTTAAGGTCACATGAACATGACATAACAAAACCACAAGTAATTGGCCCTTGGGCTATATGTTGAGATTATCCAGACAATAAAACAGCAGCCAAGGGCATTACTTGGAACACAAGGGTAAGGCTCGCCCCGTCAAAAACAAAAAAGACAAGGTTGCATCCACAAACTCGTGGATGTCCCCAAAAAGTATGTCCCTGCAGAGTACTAAACGGGTATTGCTCATATAGGAAACCTCAGCATGTCCTAAACACTATCCAATGCGGAGGCTGTAGCAGATTCTGCTAATCATTTGAAACAAACCCTTTCATATTTCCTTCGGCAGCCTTGAATAATGTAGGTATCTTTACAAAATGGTAAGCTCTTATTCACCAATTGCTTCCACAGAGTGCGGGATGGCGGAGTGGGTTTTTTTCTAAGTCATGGTAATGGCCTTTCTGGCATAGGAGAGGAGAAAATCGATCATGGTTCTTTCTGCTACCATAGGGATAAAATTTTCCACCAGGCCTTACAAGCACTGATAGCATGGGCTATGACAGGTCCTCCTTATGAAGAGATCTGGGCTCTAAGAGACCTCTGCTGACCTCTAAAGCACCCGATCAAACTGAGATCGGTTTGATCAACTGCTTCACAAGCCCGTAATGGTTTATTAATAAACACAACCAAAACCAGAAGTGACAAAATCCTTGACGCTTCCGGTTTCTGATGTCAGGGTGGGAGACAAAAGATTAGAAATACATAATCACCCAGTGAAATCCATAGATAACAGGTCCTGACTGACACAATGTTATTCAAAGTGGTCCTCTCCCCCTTTGTGGGAATTAGTTAGAAATCCAAAAAGGGTAGGGCCGGCGTGAAGACAGTTACTGTAATTGATGCAGTCATTTACATAAAAACTGCCAGTTGAACAAAACAGTACTGGGATCATGGCTGTAGATGCAACCGTGATCCCGGTAGAACCATCTCAATAGGAGGACACACTCACACTAACTGGGACAATGGCTATGATCCTATGGCTTATATACCTATGGCTGGCATGGAGGAGTGGTGATAGAGAATAGCACAGTTAAATGCAAATGTGCTTTTTTTCTACTATACGCAAAAATATTCCTCCCTTCCTTATAGGTTTTTTTTTCTTCAAATTGAAGCAAAATTTAAGAGTTAAGCTCAGGCCCCATCAGACAAATTGTTGCTGCACTATCCTGAAGAGAGGCACATATGCTCTGCCTGGTTTGGGGGTTGGTGGCAACAGTGTAATCCTCCAGTTAGTTAACAATGCCCCAGCCCAGGAGGAATTTGTAACCACATGCAGTTAATAGCGAAAGCACAAAATTGTCATAGTTCCTGTTGCAGGAAAAAATATGGAGGTAAACAATCAGGCACAAAAAAAAAAAAAAAATCTTCATAAAGCATATTTAAAAACGCATTGTGATACCAATACACAGATATACATAGATTGAGTTTCAGGACAACTATCCTCTAAAACCAGAACTTTGCGTTGCTGAGAAACATTCCTTCATATCCTCAAAGTTAATTTGTATGCAGATAAACAAAAAAAATAGGAAATGATAATTCTGTACTCATGTTAAAGAATAAACATGTTCTGCTCCATGCCCAAGATAAATAAATTGATGACAACTTCTGTGTCAGTGTTAAAAAGTATGTATGGGCAAAATGCTGCATGTACAGCAAGACACTGCCAAAAATCCAGTGAGCTTGTAAATTCCTATACACACGCTGCTTTTGCTGCACTGAAATCCCAAGCAGTGTTATCAGCTCTGCACGTTTATATTCTATGGACTACATAACACCTTCCCAAAATGTTATTGAGATGAGAAAAGAGGGTGGAGTTTGGTAGCCTAAATCAGGAGCTCCTCCACAGATCTAGTACAAGGTGTAAGCGTTGTCACCCCAGGACAAACAGTGTGTAACTGGCTGGATCACCAGTTGAATTAAAAAAAAAAAAAAAAAAAAAAAAAGCCTGAAGAAAAAAACGAGTGCATCCACCTCAAAGGACAGGTAAGCTCATTTATATAAGGCCTCATACTCACAGAGCTTAAGAAATGCCGCTTTTACAGAGTATGTTTTTTTCAGTCTGTAAAAGACACCTCTATGTAAGCCTGTGTCCATACACACAGAAGTGTTTAACACACACACACACTTTTGAGCAGAAAATTCATGTAAATGCATCTAAAAGTGGGTGCATGTGCTTAATTGTATTCCAATAACCAGCAGTTTGTTTAGAAGAGATCTCTAGGGCATACTCACTATATTCGGTTCTTGTTCACATAAAACCTCAGATAAGGGGGAAGGTGACAGCTCATCTGCCCATTTTACAGTCGTTTTTGATGAAGTCTACATATAGAAGAAAAAAAAAAAAAAAAAAAAAAAAAAAAAAAAAAAAAAAAAAAGCACCAAAAAGCAGCTTGGTGTTAGAAGAGTGTAAGCATGTAAAATAAGTAAAATGTATTAAAAAAAACATCCATCACATGATCTACCTAATGTTTTTCAACATACCTGAACATCGGTCTTATCAGACTCGAGACACTTATTTGCTTTCTCTAGTGCCAGCGCTCTTGGAGTTTTCGGAAACACTGGTTGCTTTGATGTGACAGAGTATGGCTGGGAAAACTTCTGTAACATACGTAGAACATGACACAAAATGTAATGGACCTTTGGGTTTATTCAAGCTTACACATTGCTTTATATTACCATTTCCAGTTACAGCAGATATAGTAAAGGACCTATAAAAGCATACAAAGCAATACACAGGTCAAAGACGACAAACAAGTGGTGGGAAAAATGCAGTAAGGGCGCTACTGACAAAACAGATTTCAATCATTTCGTGTCTGTTAGAATGCTGTCAACTGGTCAAATTCAAATACTTCTAAAAAAGCCCCAGATAGTATTAAAAAAAAAAAAAAAAAAAAAAAAGGGGAGCTCTATCCCTTCCATGCTCTATACAGAAAAAAAAAAAAAAAAAAAAGTTCAAAAAGGATCATTCAAATACAGTTTAGTCCTGAGGTTTTTTTATCTCCGAATTCTACGTTGTATATAGCATGGAGTAGGAATGTCATGCTCACAATTTTCTTGTACTGAGCCTCATGTCACATCATTACAATGCTCCATCCCCTGCCCTCACTGCTGTATGAAACAGAATGGAGTGAGAGAGTGTTTACAGCTGCTTCAAGACACAGCCAGGCAAAAAGTTTTTTTTTTTTTTTTTTTTTTAAAAGGCCAGAACAGGAAGCCCCAACATGACAGCATGACACATTCACTAACGCCCATCTCAAACAAGGAGGTGGAGGAGCACAGGAAATGAGGAGAGTATAAGCAGATCACAGGGTGGGCTAAGAAAAGAGACTCCGTCACTTTGCTTTTATTAGGCAAAGTGACAGTTTAAAGTCAGAACACTTGATAGTCATGGACCAAGAACAAGTATACCCAAGTATTTTAACCATTAGCCGCCCGGCCAATGGCCGTTTGGCGGCTTGAAAAGCGCTGCAGCTTTCCGGGTGCACGCCATTTGGCGTGCTCCCGCACATGCGCGGTTGCAGAGCGACGCAGCAGTGCGATCTGTCACCGCCCATGCACCTCGGACACGGCCGATGACAGATCCGAGTACCGACTCCCGTTGCCGGTACCATGTGACCTGCTGTGACCAATCACAGCAGGTCACATGACAGTTGTATACAATGGATGGCTTCATTCATGATGCCATCCATTGTATACTAGTGCCTAGCTGTGAATGGTCACAGCTAATCACATGCACATGTCATGTGATTAGCTGTGACCAAATCACAGCTAAGCACAAAAAAAAAAAAAAAAAAAAAAAAAGCTGAATGAATCGATTTCATTCAGGTAAATGCTTGCTTATAGCAAAGTAATTCTTTGCTATAAGCAAATTGTGTAAAAAAAAAAAAAAAAAAAAATACTGATCACTTCCCCAAAGTAGTAGTGTTACTATGGTAACATTGTACTATTTTGGTCATAGTAAAATATGAAAAAAAAATCTTAAAAAAAATAAAAAAAAAATGTAATAAAAAATTAAATATAATAAAAAAAAAAAATTAAAAAAAATATATATATATATTTTTTTTCATACTGTCACCAGTCAGTGTCGCTGTTCACCGCCATGCCAGTTATATGATGACGCTGTACTGCACTGGTGACTGTATGTAAAAAAAAAAAAAAAAATAGTGAAAATAAATTTTTTTTAATTTTTTCATTTTCCGAAAAATTATGACAAAAAAATACAAACTTCAAAAAACTCGCCATGCCTCTTATGAAGTACGTCGGACTGTCTACTCTGCAAAAAGGGGTCATTTGGGGGATATCTGTACTGTTCTGACATTCTTGGACCTCAAGATATTAGATTGGCTGTCAGTACTTCAGGATTGATCAATATTCAGATCTATACCATAGTTTGTGAACTCTATAACTTTCCTACAAACTAAAAAATACATCCTAATTTGGGTTATTTTCACCAAAGACATGTAGCAGAATATATCTCGGCCTAAATTTATGAAGAACAATTATTTATTTGTAAACTTTTATAACAGAAACAAAGAAAAATGTGTTTTTTTTTTTTTCAAAATTTTTGGTCTTTTTTTGTTAATTTAGCAAAAAATAAAAACCCCAGCGGTGATTAAATACCACCAAAAGAAAGCTCTAGTTGTGTGAAGAAAATGATAAAATTTTAGTTTGGGTACAATGTTGTATGACCGCGCAATTGTCATTCAAAGTGTGAGAGCGCTGAAACCTGAAAACTGGCCTGGGCAGGAAGGTGTAAAATTGCACGGTATTGAAACGGTTAATCACTAGATCAGCAGCCAAAAAAAAAAAAATTTAATTTTCACAGAAGAGGTCACCAGTAGTAGAGGTTTCCTTAACACAATAAGAAAGGGATTTGCAAGTGATCAAGTTATTTATATTTTCAAAAGTGCCAGAAATCAGTGGAAATTATATTGGCTTCAGATTTTGCAATGTTGTCAGATTTGTACCAGCTGTGGGTCCCTGGGACATTCAGAGAACACCTAAAATGAATCATTCCCCTGCATTTAATCTCTAGAAAGGATCACTCAATTCTTGATTAATGTTTTGACTAATGGTATCCGAGATTTAAATGTGCAGAACTTCCTGCATACTCAAGAGGAGACTATTATTTACAGCAACATAGATGTAGAAAGCACACAGGTTATTTCAGAATACAAACCACAGTGGAAGATTGTAGCTGAAGCACTCTCCTAGCTGGCCTTCCAGAGCTCTTGTCACTAATTTCTAGAGGAACACGACAAGGACTGAATGTTAGCCCTGTTGAAAAGAAGATGGTGTCAGGTGAACAAGCATACATCAGCATACAGAATTGTCACGTGAAGTACCTCCAGGATAGTAAAAAAAAATCACCCATTAGTACACCCCCCTATACTAAACTGTTAATATAATTTTGAAAATCTATACCATTTAGGAGAAAAGTCTAACTGAATTTTCATGACCTCATCTCTGTAAATTCAAAAGATAACAGCATCTGCTCTGCCAAGGATGAGGTGTAACAGCAGGGATTACATCATATCCTCTCTTAGCAGTAAAAGGAAACTATAGTTCCCATCAACCACAGTGAATTTTAGTGAATGTGGGAGGGTACACTAGGCATGTACATATTGAATACATTAGTCTTGGTCCACCCACCACTGCAGGTGGGGCTGAACGACATCATACCTCTTGGAGAAAGAACTACAGAATGGTTGTGCCAAGACCAGTGGCTGGAGAAATAAAAGGCATAGCAATCACTGTTCTTACAAACAGCAAACCAAAGAGAATTAACAGTTTTGATTTGAAAATAAATGGGCTATTTCAGAGCAACTGCTGAGTGAACCAGAAGATGGATGACATTCAGTCAAAGAAGGAATTCAGCAACAAGAACATGTAAATAAGGTTTTGCCTAGAGTTCTGCTTCAAGCAACACATTAGAACAGATACATTTCGCACATAACAATACATTTCTTAAAAAACTGCAGAACACTTACAATATATTCATAGTTCAGCCTCATCCTCTGATTTCTTGTGCCGCTTCCCCACATTTCCAGGAACACACAAAATGTGAATAAATGTGAACCTGTAGACTGTACTACATGTCTCTTCAAGTGTATTGCTGCTGTGTATGCATGCCCTATTGGCTGTTGTGAGGACATTGATTGTGCCAGTGTGCACAGGCAGTCCGAAAGGACAAAGAAAACAAGATACCCATGTTCAGACGGCATCCTCAGAGGGCTGTAGTGCTCTTCCCAGAAGCATGTACGTAAACCTGGCTCTGACAGGACCCTGCAAGCCAATGGGCCACCCTTGCAATGGAAATTGGAGCAAATGATTGGTGGACCTGATAAAAAGGACAGGCAGGACAGAAGAACACCACAGCACACAAGGTAAGTCCAAACACCAGCATCTTAGATAACAAATATCCTCACTACTCTTTGATCTTTACAGCGAGGCCCACAGGAAGAAGCACAGCTCTGGCTAGGGTATGCGTCTTCTTCACCATTCATTCCTCTGTGCATTCAGGGTCTTACAGTGGGCAGCATAGCGAAGGTCTTTGAGGAGACAGGACATGCAAGAAGATTTGGGTGGGTTGTTAGAAGGGTAGGAGGCTCAATTAAAGGATAACTCTAAACTAAACTAATCATTTGTTGCTTACTCAAGCTGAAGGGAAATACAGACAGGAAAAACAATTGTATGAACTGATTGTTTATACTAATTGACAATAAAGTAACTAGTATTTTGGCTCATTATAAATCTCAGTCACTGCTCCTCTTATTGATAAGATTTTTTTGTTCAGGAAAAGAAATGTTAGCTTACCTTTAAGTTGCATTGTCACATTAGATACTGGACCACAGGCAGGCTTTGGGGTTGTCACCTGCGGCAGAAAAGTTCCAGACAAGGCCTAAAAATAAGAATATGAAGAATACATTAATGAGACTGGGCTTTTGAAAAACACCTAAATGTTATTTTGGTAGTGATCTTACCATAGCGCCCTTGAACATGGAGCTTCTGCCCTGCATAGGTATTCTCTGTGCCAGGCTTAGTTCCCGACAATTGGTATTGTTCATTTCAGTGTTGGAGAGGATGCTGGCAAGAGCCTGGGAATCGGCCACAAAATCTACAGAACTAGTATCTGAAAAAAAAGAAGAAATATCCGCAATGCTTTAAAGGGAAAGGGATTCTAAAGATTATTTTTTCTTTTCTTGTAAAATAACAAAACATATCTATACTTACCTGCTGTGTGCAGTGATTTTGCACAGAGCAGCCTGGATCCTCCTCTTGTCAAGACCCCTGCAGGCTCTCCTCGCCCCATTCTGTCTGTCAGGTGCCCCCATAGCAAGCAGCTTGCTATGGGGGCACCCGCTGCTCCGTGTGTCCTTTCACACATGGAGCTGCGGCTTGGCCCCCCTCGCTCATTGGCTTATTGGCTGTGACTGACAGCAGCGGGAGCCAAGGGCTTCTGCTTGCTGTCTCAGCTAATGAGGAGACAGATCTGGGACAGCCAAAGCTGTCATTCACATTGCTGGATCGCGATGAGGCTCAGATAAGTATTGAGAGGGCTGGGGGCACAGAAGTTTTTTTTTTTTTACTTTCATGCATAGAATGCATGTAGGTAAAAAACCTTCAACCTTTACAACCACTTTAACTAAATGTCTGTATGCTAGGAGCTTTCGATTTGCTGATGATTCTATTTATTCACCCAGCAGCCATTCTGACAGAGTATAAAATTCTTCCATTAAAAAATAAATAAATATATATATATATATATATATATATATATATATATATATATATATATATCTTTGTGAACTACATATGTACTTTATGCTCTCACTACCCTGGAACTTAACATATTTCAACTCTTACCTGTATTTTTTTCAAAGTCCCTTTTCCTTGCAGATCCATTTACTTCTGTGGAAGAGGTCTCACACCTGGAATGCAATAGGTAAAATGTATACAACATAGTAGATAACATTTTCTCTATGGTTTTAAAAAGTGAAGAACACATACAACTAGGCACACACAATGCTCATTTCACAAGGTCTAGGGCCAAATAAATGTTTAGTTTAGTGGTGTTTAGAGTGCCTTTAATTAAACTATAACTAAAAGGCAAAATTTAAAAAAAAAAAAAAAAAAAAAGTTTAATTTTGAATAGAGGGGAGAAGGATTAGAACACGTCAGGTTTTTATTGCGGTCTGTGCCCTCGTTAAGGAGGAGAGATTAACCCTCTCTATTTATCCTGACTACCATTATCATTGAAAGTAAAAGGAAATCCAGAATTTTGGCTTGTCCCCAGAAAATAGGGGGTAAATCTTCCAATGGGGCACTAGCTCTGGCGACCTAGGGGTCCCCAGGGAATTCTCTTAATTTGCAGGGATTTCCTCTCACTTCCTATCTGGCTATGGGACAGGAAGTGAAGGAAAATCTCAACAATGGGAAAGAGATGATGAAAAAAAAAAAAAAAAATCCGACAGGGCTTATAACCCTCCCTTACTCTATCCAAAAAGGGAAAAAAAAAAAAAGTTTGAATATAGTTCTACTTTAAATAACTATAAACGGCAAAGCTTTTTTGTTTTGGCTATAAACACCTTCATAATGACATGTGGGCACATCAGCGACACAAGCCAACACAGGTAAAGCTCACTATGGGATGGAAATGGCCTTCAGGCTTAGTTAGTAAGGGTTTGCTATTTTTATGAACACGGTACTTATGAAAACGAAAACTGAGAAAGAAATCATACAGCGGTGTTGTATGTACAGTACTGGTCTTGTCCGTTTTCGCAGGAAGAGATGTCAATTTTGTTAAATTGTCTTCTTGTGCGGGTGAATGAACAAATGATTTTATCAAATGTTGGCACATGTGGACGTGTGTTCATTTGCTGTAACACTGGATTTTCCTAGAAGAAACAAAAGACCATATTTTTATTGACTAGGAGATTTTAAAAATATATTAAAGTGAAGACCACTCAAAGTAAAATTTTGCAAACCTGTGGGTAAAGCTCATCTTTTTTCAATCCTCCAGGCTCTTTTACCGTGGTTTCAGGGACAGGATTCCTATTCTGCAGTCTAAACAAGGGCTTTTGCTCATAAGCTAAAGGACAATGAATACTGTTAGACTAAGCAGTACTAGGAAAGTCACAGTACACCAAAACAAGTGATGGTTATTTCACTGGTTGGGCTAACTAAACAACGTATTTCTCCTGAAAACACAATACTCACAAAAGATAGTTAAGCAATTGAGCTTGTGAAATACAGAAAAAAACAAAAAAACTTACCACGATTTTAATTTTATTACCAATTTTTTTATTTAATAAAAGGAAAGCAGTCATAATCACCTCCAAGGCTCAGCCATAGATCATTTTAAATGCTGGGGCTTGCTACTATATGAACCCTGATAGAGTTGCTTGTGCGGTACAAACATACTACACGGTGTGTGATTGTAAAGAGATGTTTATGAAGCTATGTTTGAAGCGCATAATGGGATTTATAATTTAAAGTGAGGCTTTATTTGCATATGTATTACATTTAATCATCTACCTGAAATATATACGTTGCCCATTACATGCACCATATTCCACATACCTTTAACAGTCATCTTGGAAAAGCAGGACATCCTATCCATATTAGCAGGCCCACTGTGGCTATTTGACACGGTGTACATTGAGCTTCTGATCATCTACAGAAAACAAGGTGCTAAAAATGAGCAGCACACAACAACGTTCAATAAAACCTGGTTGCACAAAAAGGCTACACATACACATTGTACACACTCTTCAGTTTAAAAAAAAGAATATGTTACGAGTTATTATAACAATCTTTCCTCTCTGCACAAGTCAAAAAGGCCAACATGCAACGAAATCCTAAATTTACAGTTTTAAATCTGAGGCTAGCTTCACATCTTTGTGGTGCAGTAACACACAATGCAGTAACACAAGTGCCATGCATGCATTAGAGTGCATTCAGATAGAAGCCTGTACTGGGGAAGTACACCAGCTGTTATAATTCACATTCCTTACTAAAATGTATGAGATCTCTGGCAGTCATACTGGTCCAGCAGCTCATGCAGATTAAGAATGCATTCAATGCCACTGGTAATTTCCAAGTGAGAACCAAAAGTAAGCACTGAAGCCAAAGAAAGCTGGACAATTAATATTTTTAGAAAGATGGCAGCCTCCATATTTGAGTAAAAGTTTCCTTTTATATAAAGAAATCGCCAGCGCCAAAACCGTGAAATTAGAGGCTAAATAAATACTGCTGCTGCTCATTAGTGTAAACACCAAAAAAAATATATAAAACATCAAAACAGCACAAATATATAATAAAAATTAATATACACTCCGGTGAAAAAATTATTAATAAAAAATAGAAATTAATAAGTCCCACTCCAAATCAATAAAGTGAAAGATAAAAAAAAAAAAAAAAAAAATTATGAAAGTCCTTTTCCAAGAAAACTTTTGACCCATGTTTCCACCAAAATAGTGCTCAAATATCACACCGCACTCACCAGATATTTAACCATCAAAACCCCAAAAGGTGTTTTTTTTTTACCAATATCTGGTGAGTGCGGTGTGGTATTTGAGCACTATTTTGGTGGAAACATGGGTCAAAAGTTTTCTTGGAAAAGGACTTTCATGAATATTTTTTTTTATTTTTTCACTTTATTGATTTGGAGTGGGACTTAATTTTAATTTTTTAGCATTTATTTAATTTTTCACTGAAGTGTATATTTATTAATTTCTATTATATATTTGCGCTGTTTTGAGGTTTTATATAAAATTTTCTTTTAATAGATAGAGCGACAATAATAACATGCATTCTGAGGCTGCAGGGATGCGTTATAGATGCTGATAAACACTCGTATGCTTTCTTTCTAGTGAACAGTTTGACACAACAGTGCAATAAAAAATAAATAAATAAAACCACACACTCAAAACATAAAACATAGGCAGTTTAAGTCTGGAGTCCTGGAACTTCCTTCTCTTACCGGGTTTCTGCAGCTGTTGAGTGGATGAGCAATTGATGACGCTCTCATAGGTACCCTTTGTGCCAAGCTGACTTTGCCAACAGGGGCAGCAGACACACCAATATTTGACAGGATGCTAGCCAAGGCAGCTGGATCAGCTTTAAAATCCACCTCTGAACCACCTGAAGAAACATGAATACTCACATCTTGTGCTCCGGATAAAATTTTCTATATTATTATGACTCCTGTATATAAACTAATAAAACAATCACCATGATTTCATAAAAGATAATCACGTGACCCCCAGGCCAGCTCTTACATTTCTCTCATACATGTAAAAAATCTGCTAGAAATTACTTTGAACCCTCAAACAAACAAACATTCCTAAATAATGAGTATTGCAATTTTTTTTTTTTTATATCATACGATATTTCTGCAGCGGTTTTTCAAAAGCTAGAAAAGAATACACTTTAATGATTTTTAGTGAACACAAACACTTTAATATCCAATTTTTTTGTAAAATATATAACAAGTTACGGTGCGTAAATAGATTCCAAACATGTCATGCTTTCAAACTGTGCATGCCCATGGAATTTCAATAAACTACAGTACATTAAATTATCCATAGGTGACGCTTTAAGCCTTTACAGGTAACCAGCTTAGAGTTACACAGGAGGCCTGGTGCTAGAATTATTGCTCTTGCTCAGACGTACGTAGCGATACCTCATGTGTGGTGAGATTTCTGTATACATATGCGTGTGGGACAGACATGTGTGTTCGTCTGAGCATGGGGGTGTTTTAAAATAGTTAATTTTTTTTTTTCCGCTTACAATGTATCTTTATTTTTTTTTGGATCAACTTTATTGCCATCACAAGGGATGAATAAGTATGGGCCGTGACAGGTTCTCTTTTTTGAGGGAACTGCTGTATTCCACCCCATATCTCTCATCTGGCCTCCAAAGCATCTGACCACACCGTGATCAGTTTGATCAGATGCTGTACATGCTAGCAACGGCTTGTAAACAAACTGAAACCGGAAGTGACAAAATCATTGTTGCTTCCAGTTTCTGACGTCACAAAAGATGGGTGTGAAGATCCGTCCCTTCCACTCTTCAGAACTTGTTTACACCATGGTGCAGAGACATCGATTTTGCTGTGCTCTTGCAGAACACATGCAGAAAAACGAATTGTTCTCTTTGTGCCCTGTTCACACCACTAGTATCATGTGCAAATTTTTTTGACCTGCCGGAGCCGTCATTTGGTGCCCAAGAGATCAATATTCAGATTCAGGCCAGTGATGTTCGGCCTGGATCTGATAATTGATCCCTGCCCTATCACAGATCTTCCTGTACCTGTGTTTACATTTACACAGGTACAGGAAATGATGCAAACTTCTCTCTCTGGGCACATTCCGTTCCAGAGAGAGAGGAAAGCAGATCCAGGTGAGTAAGACAGCACACAATTACAGTTAAAACACTTTTAGGACACATTTAACCCCCTGACCGCCCCCCAGTTAGTACAGTGTACATTGTTTTTTTTTACTGATCACTGTATTAGCGTCACCAGCGACCTCAGTTAGCGTTAGCGTCCCTTCCAGATAGGGCCAGATTGCCCATCACCACATTTAACCCCTTGATTGCCAGGAAAATGCTCACATACACAATAAACCTCCATTGCTAGTAGAGTGTCTAAACGGATCAATATCTGATCAGATCAGCACTATACCAGCATTCACATTAGTATAGTGTCCCCCAAAAATGCGGCATTAGCAGGATCAGCCCCACCACCTGCTTTTAGCCCCTACGCTTAACTCCCCACCCCCTCCCCCAGCAAGTGCAGTGTAGTAGGTCACTGTCACTTGATACATTGCACACAAAACCGCAGTGTTCACAGAATCCAGACTGATCTCTGTTAGCACTTGCAGGTAAATTTTTTTTGTAGCAGTTCAGGCAGTCCCTGACAGCCAGTTGCTGTTTTTTCCCCATGAGTCGCACTAGGTACCTATAAATTTAGTGACCAAAATGTCCAACGAAAGGTACTCTAGTGAAGAGGCCTACAGGATTCTGAGCATGTCAGATGAGAGCAAAGGGAAAACCTCACTGACAGAATCAGCCTCAGAATACGAACCTGTAGACAGCAGCAGCAACCTGACAGATGGCTCACACAATGAAGAAGAGGTCAATTGTACCAGACCCCGTTCCCAGGTTGCGGAGATGTTCCAATTGCATGAGGATTCTCATATGCAGCAGAGTGCTAATATTAGTGCCACGCTACCATTTGGTGAACTGGCGAGCACCAGAGGCCTAGTACATCCTGGTCTTTCACATACCAGCATTGCAGTATCACTTGGTGACATGGCGAGTCCCATAAGTGCAGTACAAGCTGGCGCGGTGGCTAGCACAAGTAGCGCCCTGCAGCCACCAAGAATTCACACACAGACCCGTAGAGCCCCTTGTATCCTTCTGGATGTGCTTGCAATTCCCGATAGCCCACAAATTCTGCAGCACCCGTGCTTCCCCCATTCACTGCCCAACCTGGAATTCAGGTGGAAATAGCAAATTTAACTACCCCTTGATTTTTTGGAGCGGTTTTTCACAGAAGATCTATATGCATGGATTTTGGATCAAAGCAATTTATATGCACAACAGTGTATTGTTGCCAACCCAAATTCAAACCTTGCCAGACCATTTGCATGGAAACCTATTACAGTTTCCAAATTTACATTTTTTTTTGGGCCTAACCCTAGACATGGTAATTACTAAAAAAAATTAGTTGCGGTTGTATTGGTCCACAGACCCGATTCATCACATGCCCGTGTTCTCTACTGCCGTGGCCAGGCATGGATATGAGAATATAGAATGTGACTTATGCATTTCAATGACAATACACTTTGTCGTCCTCGGGGTGACCCTGAATTTGACCGGCTCCACAAAATT